TGATGCCCTTTGGAGAGGGCGGGGGAAGAGGGTTTACCAGGCACAGCTAGCCCCCACACTTCCTTCTCCAAACTGGATGTGTTTTGTGTGCATTTGAGAGGGTACTTTGACAGTGTGGCAATGTGGGGGAGGGTGTTTGTGAAGGGAGAGTCAGCTTAGGATGAAGACAGCCGCCAGGCTCTTGGCGCCCGCCCGTGTCTCCCAGCACACGGATTCCAGGCAGGCCCTTCCAGGCAGCGCATCTGTTGTGTGAGAAGAGATCAAGCAGAGCCAGGCACAAGGTCATTTCAGAGTAGAGGGTCTGTTGAAGCCAGACCAACAGACTGCCATAGGCTCAGCTGGGCGGTGCTTGACTTTGTTTCTGAATGTCAGTAGTCCTTGTTGGTTGTGGGTATTTCCACGAAGGGTGCTGGAGAAAAGGCTGGTGTGGAGGAAAGTGCATTGTCCAGGACCCAGGCCCACCACCTCCTAGCTGGGGAAGTTGCTAACCATCTCTGCCAGGAGCTAGCTCTCTGCGCCGTGGTGACAGTCCCTTTGCAAGGTCCGAGCGGATGCCCGCAGCTGCAAACGCTGCCCATCCTAGGGTACAGGGGTGGAAGTTGTCTTCTGGTCTAAGAGTCACTGCTTCCTACTGTGGGGTGACAGGGTTAGGACACATCTGGAAAGCTGCTTCCTTCCTGTAAGTCTGCCTATAAAATGTGGACTCTGGTTATCTGCCCTCCCCCTCTGTGTGGAGTGTCTAGAACAGAGCCTGGCACGTGGACATTGCTGCAGATGTGTTCCAGCTGTTGTATCTGCTGTGTGGGCTTTTGGTTCCCAGTGTTGTTCCTGATTCATGCCTTCATCCAGATGCATGATACCATCTTCTTTGTTATAAGTCTTTGGTACCCAGGCAGCTCCTGGCCAGATAGATGCAGGGCATGCCCCATGACTACTGCCTGACGCCTCAGGCAAGCCCTTTCCTGGCCAGCATCCTGCCACTTGCTGGCCAAAAGCTCCCAGGAGCAAGGCCCTAGAGAGACAGGAACCTCTTGCCAACTTAGGAAACAGATCGGGCTGTGTGGCCTTAAACCAAGCCCCAGGGGAACCTCTGTCCTTTCCCAGGTGAGAGCCTGGCGCACTGGTAGCTGCAGTGGCTGAAACTGTGGCCCGGTCGCTGCCTCCCAGCTGTCTGTGTTCAGCTGTTTCCCTCTCCTACTGAAGAGCCTGTGGCTCCTGCTGACTCTCCTTGTCAGAGGAATAAAAGCTGCCCATGCTTCTCCAGCAGCCCTAGAGCTGGCACCCTGTGGGGCCTGACTTGACCTGTGCAGGGGCAGCTGTCTATGCAAGTGGCACAAGTTCCCTGCCTCTGAGGAGCCTCTTCAGGGCTTTGATTCCTGGAGGCGCCATCCTCTGAAAAGATGCCTCCTGGGGATTTCAGAAGAGTTTTACAGTTTCTCTTAACACAGTGGTTTTATGGTGCATAGGACCCCAGGGACACTTGCCTAAAGCTCTGGGAGTAAGGCTGTATCCAAGTCAGGGAGGGGCCGTTCGGGTGGCCTAGGGCTAGGGATCTACAGCCCTCACCTGGAGCAGACAGTAGTGCTTGGAGCTATGGGCTAGGGAGGGAAGCTCTGAGGAGTCCTGACTGCCACCTTCAGCTCTGCTGTCCTCCCCAGCAAACGCTGAGCTACCCATGGGACTTGAGTCCTACTCAGAAGCAGACAGACAGACAGACGCCTCAGTTCTTCCCAAACTGCAATACAGGCCTCACATGCAGGCTTCTCTAAGTACCAGCTAGCTCCTGGATGCCTGTGGTACTCCACCTTCTTTGGGATTGTGCCTTCCTCCTTCCCTCCTTATCTGCTTCTTCTCCCCTGCCCCACAGACAGGTTTAGCTCCTGCCCAGTCCCTGCTGGGTCCAGGCTAGTCTCTACAAGACCTCACTGCTCCACGGGGGGGGGGGGGGGGGGGGGGGCTTACGTGGTCCCTCCTAGCTTCTCAGTGCAGGGTGCTGGAAGTTTGCTGACTCAGAAACTCCAGCTCCACCCTTGTATCTCGGGGTCCCTGCTCCTCCCAGAAGACTGCTTCAGCCACTGGCCCTTCTTCCCTCCGATATCACCTTGTTCTTGGGTATAAGCATAGCACATGGATGGTCCTTGATCTACCAGGGGATACCCATTCTGTCAGGGCCATGCTGTCTCAGCACCTGAGTTACCAGTCTTCTGCCAGGCAGGTGCTCTGGGTGGCTCCCTGACCTTCCACAGTGGAACCTTCCCTTTTCACTCCAATAGTTCCCATCTCTTGGATTGATCCTCTTCTGCCACAGTTCCCAGGATCCCCAGGCCGACTCCCAGCCTTACTGGCTGCCAGGCTTCCCCTGCTGTCGGCATTTCCTCAGAGGAGTACTGCTTCCCTGGGCCTCAGCTGAGTTTTCTGTTTAGGGCTCTGTTGGCCTCACCGTCTCATGCTTGGGTTCCCCCACACCTAGCATCTGCCACCTGAACCCACCCCAATGCCATCCCCCACACCCCACAAGACTGCAGAGCTTACCAGTGTACTGTGTTCTGTGCCTAATGGTGGGCCGACCCATGGTGGAGGACCTTCTGTACTCACTGCCTGCCTGTGGTCCCTCCACAGACACACGACCTCCCACTGCTGCCTGCCCATAACAGGGCTAGGACTTCCCTTCCGCTGCCCTTGACCCCCAGGACCTCACGCTGATTACTCTGGCCACAGCAACCCAGTGAGCACCATTCTCTATCAGCAGCTGTTACTAAACGCCAGCTGTGTGCAGTGCTCTTCTGAGCACATCATTGCCTCACTGCTCTGAGATGTCACCTGAGGCACAAGCAGGTGTAAGGAGCCTGCCATTCATTGACAAGTGACAACTGACCCAGCTCTGACCCTGAGATCTAGATCCTTACTCTGACCCTAAAGCTTACAGCTTCTGGTCCTGACTCTCTGCCCTCTGTTGCCTTTGGCCTGAGGGCAGAGAGAAAATGAATGAGGACTTGGGATTTGAACTGTAGTCTGTAATATCCATAACCCGTGCGCGTGAGAGTTGACTGAAAACTCTAACTGGGGACTTTGTATAAGGCCCATTTTTCGATCTTTTCTTGCCCTTTTGACCTATCTTGTTGGAACAACTCTGTTCTGCAGCCTCACATCACATCTAAAAGCAGCATTATGACCATCCCTCCCTGGCTCCTCCACTGCCTGGTTCCTGGCTGCCCCATTATTCCAGTTTCTGACAGTGGCTTCTGCTTCAAGTGCTGCTGGTGTCTAGTCCCCTTCCAAGGATGAGCCCGTGGCTTGCTGAAGAGCCTCCTTCATGCTCAGCCTCCCCCACCCCCCAGTCCACATCAGGCAGTTGTAAAGAGAACTTGCTATTTAGAAGGGAATCAGAACTGTCAGCAGGACATAAATATTCATAGAGGGAGGTTAGAACTGAGTCCCTAAAACCTTGATTTGTGTTCGCCCATTTAAGCCTCATTAAAAAGTGGCAAATGAAAGTGGGGATATTCAGTGTAACTGCAAATAAATTGGGCTTGTTCAGATAAAGGCCCCCGACTGCCAGCCCCTGAGGCCCTGTCCAGAGCAGGATGGCAGGATGGCTTGGCCACAGCCTCAGCTGTAAGACATTGCTCAGCAAGAGCGCCTGGCCTTGCTCTGGGGCAATTACCACTTGTTTGGGCACTTGGTCACCCTCCAGAGGCATTCAGACATGGAAATCCTGAACCTGATCCCTCCCCAGAATGGTCCCCAAACCAGGGCCCTGCCCAAAGAGCAGCAGGAAGAACTGAACCTGGCAGGACATCTGGGGCACAACTGTTTGCTTGTTTTAGTGAGCCCCAGGGTTTCAGAAATCAGGTGTGTAAACCTGAACCATTTGTTCCCAGTTCCTCCGTCTACCCATGCTGAGCTGCTGCACACTCTAGCCACAAATAGGAAGACTGCAGGAGACCAGGCCTTGGGGGCACAAAGGTGGCAGGTGGCCTAAGGACCTGCAGACTTGGGCCTTCTCAGAGGCTGGGCAGGTCATAGTTACAAGTTGAACTGGCCAGTCTGTGGGCTTCTAGCCTGGGAAGATAAAAAGCTTGAACTAATAGGAGGGGCAGTGTAGACAGGGCTGACTGCCAGGTGAAGGAGAGGTATCCTCCAGCCAGGGCAGGAGGTCCAGTACGTAAGAAAGATTTAGGCCCCAGCACGGACATACAATCTCAGGGGCTAGCCTGTGCTGGGCAGCATTCTGTGAAGGGCATACTACATGGTGGCCACAAGGGCCCATATCAGACTGCTGTCCCCAAGCCTGGCTCTCTAGTGTTCCCCTCCCTACAGTACAGTTCCAGGAAGGCCTCTGGCTTCTCTGGGGACTGCTTAGTCTGCTGGCCAAGGCTGGTCCCCATCCACAGGGAAATGGCAGAGCTGACCATGCAGTTACCTCGAGGCTCTGCAGGTTATTCCCTCACATGGAGCCCTCTTACTGGGCTGCAGGAAAGGGTTACCTTCCATTGGAGCCCACCAATGTGGCTGACCCAGGAATGTCTGAGATGGCTGTTTTCCAGGCAGAAGGCAAAGGCCCAGGGACTTCAAGTACAATTTTCCTGATTCCTGACCCCAGGCCATTGCCCTGGGACATCCAGACTCTGACCAGCCTGCTTAGGAGGCAAGATTCTTCCAGGTAGCTCCAATAAGGAATGGAGCTGAGACCAAAAGAAGGGTGCCCCCATGACTCCTCAGAAAAACCATCCCATCTCTGTCCTTCCAGTTGGCCATGTTTGCTGTCCCTCTTGGGGACTTGGTAAGGGTGGGTGAAGGTAGAGATGGAAAAGGACTGTTACAGGGTTCCAAGGAGCCCTCAGCACTAGCCAGCCAGCTTAGACCCAATGAAGTGGCCACTTAGATACCTGGAGACCAAGTCAGGGCAGAATTACGGTGTTCAATGCCAAATGCCTAACATCGGCACCCAGGTGTGGATAGCCCAACCCAGCATTTTACAAACCATTTTCCCATAACTCAGGTATTTTCTCTAAGATCACATCTCTGAAATGACAGAGCGGATGGAAGAAGATAGGCCTGGCAGCCCTCCTTTCAAGAGCTTAGCTTCTTTGCCATCGAGTTATGCTGACCTCGGTGATGGGCAACATTTCTGCGTAAGAGCCACAGAAAGAAAGAGAAGTGGTTTCGAGTTGCATTGTTTCGCCAATTTTTATTGATTCTCAGGAAAATGCCTATTGTGACAACACAGACTCACTAGTAAGATGAAGCATGTCTATGAGGAAAATGCCCCTACTAGCCCCTGACGTTTAACCCCCTCCCTCCCACCTGGAGACTTGGGACCTTGTGCTGTCTCCGCAGTGCGCATTTCCTTCCCGAATCGACCGTGGGGCAGGTTCTGCTGGGTGCCAGGCTCTGGCAGTTATCTGCCTCTTCATCCCCAACCTGTGCCTGGTTCACCCACTTCTTGTTTTCGGGAACTCAGCCCGGCAGTTCAAAATCTGAAGCCCTCTGTCGACAGCAAAGCTGGGCCCTGCCCAGTACAACATGGGGTGGGAAGGGAGGGAGGGGCTAGAGGTGAGCCCCTCCAGGGCGCCAGTGCTGGGAAAGCTTAGAGCTCAGCACCTCTGTCTCTGTCTCTTTCAGATTGATGGGCTGGAGGAGAAGCTGTCTCAGTGTCGGAAGGACCTGGAGGCTGTGACCTCCCAGCTCTATAGGGCAGAACTGAGTCCTGAGGACAGGTAATGCCTCTGTCCAGTCAGGCCTCCTGGCCTGGTTCCTATATAAACTAAGCCAAGGCAGAAGAGTCCCTAACTTTGAGCTTTAACCCCTGTCTTCTTAAGATCCTAGTTTTTGGCCCCTTTATTCAAACAGACAAGAACTGTTGCCCCTCTGGTTAAGACAGGAAAAAAGGTCTGAGCTGTAAATTCCTTCCCCACAGGAGGTCTCTGGAAAAGGAGAAAACCACCCTCATGAGCAGAGCCTCCAAGTATGGTAAGAAAGTTCCCTCCCGTTGCCAGCCTCATCCCTGGCACCTGTGAGAAGGGTCCATTTTTTTTGTTCAAAGGAGGAAGCAGTAGCAAGGGGTCTATATTCACTGGGGTGTGTCTATGCCATGTCCAGAAGAAAGGCTCTCATCCACAGACACTGGACTCTGCATCTGATGCCCCACCCGACCAGAACAACCCACATGGGAGTGGGGGGGTTGGATAGCCCCTCCTTAGGCAGGAAAGGGCTTCGGAGGCTAGAGCAATGCTGCCACCTTCTGGGTGCAGGGAGCAGAGCCAGTGAGAGTCCAGTAGCCCTGCCTCGAGGTCTGCAGGACCCTTCAGATGTGTCCTTCCTTCTCTACTCAGAGTGAGGTCAGTCTGGCTGCCCAGGGCTGGCTGGCAGTTCTCCCAGTTCATTGCTTAGGTGGGGTAGGTGGCCAGGACATCAGTTTAGCCTCTGCAGAGTAGAAACTGCACACGTGAGGACTGGGAATGAATGTGGCTGAAGAATATCAGGGCTTCTTCTAGTGCACCGCCAGACAGCAGGGATTCAGGAACTGTGTGAGCCCCAGGAGGCTCCAGCTGGCTGAGAAGGCTCCTGAAGGATGAGCCCTTTTGGTGGCCTAGCACATACCCTACTGTACTCAGAAATGGCTGAGCAAGTCGGGTGTGCTCTTGGGTCTAATCTAGCTGAAGGATTCTGAGGGTGTGGGCAGAGCAAGGACAGGGCCAGGCTTGGGGGTACAAGAGTAGCTGAAAGACATTTCTGTCTTCAGATTGTCAATTCTGGGAAGAAGTTAGGTGGGCCTCAATGTTTTGTCTTGTTCTAATCTTTTTTCTCCCAGAGAAGGAGCTAAAGCTGCTTCGGCAAGAGAATCGGAAGAACATGCTCCTCTCGGTGGCCATCTTCCTCCTCCTCGCTCTACTCTATGCCCACTGGACGATGTGAGTCAGCCGTCCTCAGCCATGCAGGTTCCCTTCCACTCTCTACTCAGGGACCAAGCAACCTTTCAAGCTCAAGACGGAGGTGGGGGCCTTTTCCCCCTGTGGTTGCCCAGCAGCTGCAGCAGAAAGGCATGGTACTGCCTCCTCCTAGTGCTCAGTCGAGGGGCAATAAAGAGCCCCAAGCTCTGCTGTCTAGTGAGTAAATATCTCTGGCTGACTAGCTGAGGCACCCCTGTCTCAAGGATGAAGGGATGTTCCCAAGTGCTTGTGCACAGTTCGGGAGGGAGGGAGGGAGGGAGGGAGGGAGGAAGGAAGGAGAGCAGCTGGGAAGGCAGCATTGTGCCACCCGATTCTCCAGATTCTGTGCCCTGGCCTGTGATCACCAGTAAAGAAAATGCAGCATGCATGATAAAAGGTGACTTGGGCTTGAAGTGGAGGTCCCAGGAGCATGCTAAATGAACTCATCTTCTAGAGACAGGCAGGGCTAAGGAGGCCTCCAGGAGTGCGGGGGCAGCAAGACAGACTTCTGGTACAACAGCCAGTAAATAAGGAGGGCTTGAGCAAAGGAAGCCAAGCAAGAGCAGCTAACAGAGAGGTCACCCCAACCCCACTCACAGTAAAGGGTCACAAGGAAAGGTGGTTGCTGCAGGAACATGGTGAGGCCCAGGACACACAGGGACCCACCAAACAAAACACCGTGAAACATGGAGATGGGGGCAGACGGAGGCAGCCCACTCAAATCTGATGGTTAGGTGAAGGAATTCTCACCTGGAGCTGATGGAGGCTCAGTGGGCCAGCCTCTCCTAGTGCAGAACACTGCACTCTTGTGGAGGGAAGCTGGCCAGGGTCAGTAACACCCCTTCTCTCTCCTGTCCCTTGTCTAGTGACACTAATTGGTCTGACACCTCTTATTTTAGTCACACAGACTGATCCTGGATTGTCACAGTGCCACCACGGAGTGAGCTGTGTGATTTACGTAAGAGGGAAGGTGCCTCCCCACCCTTCTGGGGCTGTGGATTCATTCATTCTCTGATCCCAGCTTTAAACAGGAACTGTACCTTGATGCCTCTGGGCTGTCTACCAGGTAGCAGCCCAGGAGCTGGAGAGGCATGAATTCCACAAACCCTCCCCCTTCTCTTAAAGTCAGACCCCAGCCACACAAGCAATAAAAATATGTTTAATGATCCAAGATTCTGCAAGACACACTGATAGGCCCAGAACTGGGTGGAAATAGGGCATCCTAGCACTGTTGCTGCTGGCTTAGGGGTAGAGGCTGTCAGAATGGACCTCCTACAGTGGAGTCAATTCCAGCCTCATGGGTTCCTCAATGCCCTATCTCCATGGAAACCAGCCTGGTGCTGGCATAGGGCCCTCAGGACTGCATGAAAATCTCTTGAGGTACCTCCCATTAAAAACAACCACAGGTACCCTCCCCAAACCCAAAGCTGCTGCCCTTCCTCCCTCTTCAAGAGACAGAGGAAATGGAGTGACCACATTGTATGTACCTCTTAGTGGACAGGAGGGGCAGAGCTACCACTAGCTCAAGGCTCTGCCAAGAGCTTCGGGTGGCCTGACCTGCCTGAGGGCTGGTGCTCCACCCACCCTGGAGGGGATTCTTTTGTTCCTGCTGAGGGAAAGAGAGCTCTCCAGTGCTGCCCAGTGTTGAGAACACAATAGGCAGACCCATGACAGCCCTACAACTCAGACAGTCAGTCACACCCAGTACCCGAGACTCGGGTGTGTCAGGGATGCTGGGCCCTCACTCCTTCTCAGTCTGCCAGGATGAACTCCAGGAAGGGAGTGGCAAAAAGAAACAAGAAATAAAACTCTTGATTTGTACAACAGCTGCTCTTGGCCAGGCATGATGGTGGCCTCCTTGCTTAGCTGGCCTGGTAAGGGTTGGGAAAGACGGCCTGACTGCCCTCAGAGGCAGACTGGAACTCAGAAAACAGAGTCTACAGATTCCAGCGGGAATGGTGAGGCACTGACCTGCCCCCAGCAGCTGCTTTCAAGCTGCGTCCTGATGGTGTTGGTTCTCAGGTAGCAGAGTTCCACAAGGATGTGTCCTCTAAGGACCCTGCTTGAGCTACTTGGGAATGGAGAGGAGTCCATCTCCCTCAGGACCAGGGAGAACATTCCCACCCAGTTCCTTTCCAAGAGGCAGAAGGAACCAGACACGGGCCCTGCCTTGAGAACGACAGGACATTGATGAGGTGGAGATCCTAAGATCCTCCAGGATTGTGACTCTGGATGAAAGAAAGGACGTCCTCCTTGGACAGCTTGTCTGGATCCTGAGGCTTCTGGGAGTCACGCATATGGAAGCCATCTCCCCACTCCCAGAAGAGCCGGCTGTAGTAGCAGGTACTGGGAAGGGGAGGGGGCAGTCAGAGTGGCACAGGACCAAGAGACCACTAGACCCCTGGCAACCGTGACTTCCAAGAATGGGTGCTTTTAAACTGGATTCTGTCAGTGACTCAAGTGGAGAGCTCCCCCTCTGGCATCCAAAAGGTACCCCCCGTCCTGTGCCTCCGAGAACTAATTTTTGCTGCCACAGCCTGCATCCATCTACTACTGTTTCTGTAGCCAGCTAATACTGACCTCTTAGTAAAGCAGGTGAACTAGGAACAAGTGTTGGTGGCTAATTTTAGGCCCCATGGGGCTGCTGCCAAAGCCCATGTCCAGCAGCAGTCTGACAAACATGTCTTAAGGAGGAATGCCTGGGACTTTGAGTCATAAGGGGCAAGGCTGGGAGCCTGCAACATGTTCCTCAAACCCTCTTGCAGGTCCCCGTGTTGTGTCGTGTGTCGTCCCCCGTCATCATCCCCCCCCCCCCTCCGCCACCAGTGAGCTCTCTATCCAGGCCTATGCTTGGGGCAGCTTCTGCACAGCAGTGACTCGGCCAGCGGAGGGAGGGCTACTTACTGAAATGGGGCAATGGAATCTGCAGGGAGTTCAAAGGTAGAGCTCTGGGTTTTCTTGTTGTAGAAGAACTTCTTCTTGAAGCTCTTGCTTAAGGCCATGGTCCATGGCTCTGAGGGAGAAAAAGGCAGGCACTCAGAACAGTGGGACCCATGGGATGGGTCTGGCCAATAAGGACGTCCTTCCTTTCTCCTGCTTGTCCCTTCCAGCCTCCATGGCCAAGCCCAAATGGCTCAGGAGGGTAGCAGATTTACTTCCCTAAGGCCTGTCCTGATCCTGTGGAGAAGCCATGCTTATCTGCTGAGAATACCATGTGAACATCTACGATTTCTTCTCTTCCCGTCCCAGCCAAGGACCAGAACTGGCCTGATCTGGGGGTGTGGTGTTCCCAACAGCTTCCGCAGAAGTTGCCAGCTGACTGCTGTCCACCTCAACAAGGAAGTCTGGGCCAGTCGCCCTGGCTGGGGAAGGGGACCTACCGTTCATAGTCCTGACAATGTAGAGGCCTGTGGGTACAAAGTGCCGGTCATCCCGTCCTGTGTAGCTGAGCTTTGGAGTGCCGCCGGAGCCTTTGATGAGCTTCATCTCTAACCTGGTCCCGGCAGGCAGGCAGGCAGGCGTTCGGAGAGCACGGAGACAGTGGGGTGCTAGCGTTAGTCTCTGGGTAATTCAAGGGGACACTAGTCCCTAAGCACAGAGTTAATGGCAGGTCTGGGTTTAGAGCAGAGCTCTGCACTCAGTCAAGCAATGGACGCAGGGCAGGGGTGCTGCTCCTCAGGAGCTTCACAGTGACACCAAGGGGAAACGAGAAAGCAGGGATGCGCTTGGCTCTTCAGATGACCAGAGCTCTCTCACAATGAGACTCAGCTGTTGAGGGTGGCACACGGAAGGTATGTAGGGTACAGCTGTGCCCTCAGCCCACTCCTGGCTCACTCAGCACTGTGAGCTGGGGTTTAGTGTTTGGAACTATTCCAGCGTCAATGAGCCTGTATTTCTGCCTGACATCGTCACCCTGTATCCCTCCTGACAGGCGCTGAGCTAGCGCACAGCTGGGACTCATCTGCAGCAAGACGGTGAAAGGCAGAGAATGGCGCAGTGCCAGGGCCCAGCTCTATAACCCACCTGCAAATAGAAGGCAACTCCACTCAGCCATGCACCCTATCACCAGTCTAAACCAGACGGGGCCAGTTCCTCACCTGACAAAGATCTTCTCCATCTCCTCCAGCCTGTACACCTCCTTCACCCTGTAAGTAGAGCAGGTGAGGACAGTTTCCTGGGATATGCGTGTGAAGAGCATTACAAGAGACCCTAGACCTGCCCTTGTCCTCAGGCCCTCTCTGCACCCATCAGCCCACAAATGAGGCCACACTGTGGCACAGCTGTCCTACAGACTACCTAGGCTTCTGAGCTGCCACATAGCCCCTTGGGCCTATACCAGCGCCTGGGATTCAGCAGTGAGTCCTCAAGACAGGAGAGGGAAAAGAAAGATGGCAGGCAAATTTCCCTAACCCTTATCCTCAAGTAACCTTCCTTGACACTACAGGCCAGAAATCCAAAGGCCAAGCTTTTGCCTGGGTCTATCTACATAGACTTTAGAATAATAGTCTTGGTAGTTCCGTTATTTTGAGGGAACAGACCCTATACAGGGTGTAGGCTCTAGTTTGAGGCCCAGCCCTCCACATCTGGGGTCACCAAACCTGCCTTGGGAACTGCTCCTGGTTAAGCTGCCTGTTGAAACCAGCAGGTAGGACATCAGGCAACAAGCAAAGTCTCCCTTTGAGACTGTCCTGCACCCTCGGGGCTGGCTTTCTTTCTAAGTGTAGTTAGATGAACATTCCTGGTGACTGCCAGCGTCTCAATAGGCCACCCCTCCGGTGCTGTCTGTACTAGCCTCTGACCTGGAGAAGGCAGTCTATTCTGTCTATCCGCCCCTCCTCTTGCCCTGAGCCTGGAACTTTACCCTTGGAGGAGGAGGGGGGCTCTCTCCTCAAGCACCAAGTTTCACTCCCTTAACCACCCTCTGTTTACAGTCAAATCCCCATTTCCTTGTTATTTCCTTACCAGGAGGCCATGCAATCGGCACAGGATATTCATGAAAGGGTAACTCAGGGCAGGCATGTGCATCTCAGATTAGGAAACCTTAACCCACCCCGCCAGGCAGGAGAGGGAGCTGCTTCCCCAAACCACTGACAGGGCAGTTTAGCTCCACCCCCTTCCACAAGCCTCCCACCCCACTCAGGACAGGAGAAACGACACCAAAGCCACAGCCCCACGAGGGTC